TGGAATTGGGCAACACAAATCGAAGAGATCTATTGCAATTAATGCTTGAATCAGCGTCCGACGATAACTTTATTGAAGTAAGTAGGACTTTTATTTTCGGAATATTACTAAACGATTATCTTGATCAATACTACGAACAGGATCGACCATTGCCTGTAACAGATATTGAAATGTCTCTCGTTCGAAAACTGACGAAAGATGAAATTTTGGCAAATATCTACTTTTTCAGTGAGTAATTATGCTTTATTTTTCTATCATTATCTTTTCAATGATCTCATATTCAAGTGATCGCTGGCTATGAAACTACAAGTACAGCACTTGCCTATGTTATTTATGTTCTCGCTACTTATCCAGATGAACAACGCAAATTGCAAGAGCATATCGATGCTCATTTTCATTCGAAGGACGAACAGGAAAGACCAAGCTATGAAACGATCTCGGAAATGGACTACTTAGATATGTTTATTCGAGAAACGCTTCGCATGTATCCAATTGCACCGAGTGTCATTCATCGACAGAGCACTCAAGAGTTTCATATCAAGAATGTCGGCACCATTCCAGCTGATACTATCATTGCTGCTAATATTCAAAGTTTACATTTTAATCCTGAACTTTGGGGTCCAGTCGATCCACATGTCTTCTATCCAGAACGTTTCGCTACCAAACGACATCCACTTGCATGGATTCCCTTTGGTGTTGGGCCACGAAACTGCGTTGGAATGCGATTTGCATTGATGGAAATGAAAGTAGTACTCGTGAGACTTCTGAAAATCTATTCGATTATCGACTGTGGTGAACAAACACATCAGACAATGAAAGAACTTCAAGAATTTTTTGTTATTTCACCTCAAAAAGTCGTTGTACGTTTACAGCGTCGAAATACGCAGACGTAAACCGAAACTTGTATAAGATTCGCTTATCGTAATTCAACTTTTTTATAATCATGTAGAATAAAAGGGGCTCTATAGAAAATGTACTCTTATGAGCAGTGGCGGAGCCAGGATTTTGGGCTAAGGGGGGCTCAGCCCCCAAGAATATTTTTGACTCGTATTAGGAATATGAATTTCTTGTATTATCTCGATATAGAGTGGATAGTTTTTTTTGGGTGATTCTTTCCTCAGAATATAAGCTGAACGAACAAGTAAAACAAAAATGTTCAGTTTGGGTATGGGTGTATGTGGGTGTGAGTTGGATGCAGTGGCGGATCCACCTGTTCGGAGAACCGGCGACCGCCACTCCCTTCCAAATTTTTTTTTCTATTTTTCCTCAACAGAAATAAGAAAAAAGGAGTGGTAAGACATCAAACAGGGTTCGAACACCATTATTTGACCATGATCGCCGCCCCTTTTGGCAAATCGCCATCCCCTCAGCGGTTTTCTGGATCCGCCCCTGGGTGGATGTGGGTGTGGGTGTAGGTGTGGGATGTGGGTCTGAGGATGAGTTTCTTCCTTATCAACACCCACACCCATCAAGTTGATGGATCATATACAAGTTGATTACGTTATTTTTTATAGTTTTCTTCAGTTTACTGTATTTCTGGAAAACATAATACGTTTCTTATTTATATATGACTGGATAGAGCATTTATTCCTCTATCAAACAGTATATTTTTTATCTGATTTATCTCTCATATTGACCATGAATTTAGTGAAGTTCTCAAAACCCTCAAAAAAAAATTTTCCACGGTGATAACGTGTGTCTCAAAGAAAAATGGGCCTCTCAGTATTTTTAAGATTTCTCCTGTATTATCCTTGTGATTAAAGCTCTTTTTATTATTAAAAAATAGCACTTGAAATTCTCTACAAAATTATATATGACTAGGCCTAAAAACCGTTTTAGATATATTTGAAAAAATGCGAAAACTAAAGGCATACAAACAGCTGTAAAAAGTAAATAATGGATGTCCCAAAAATAAATGACCGCACTTTGCATTTCATATTTTCTTTTCTAAGTAAATTTTATTAAAAAAAACAAAATATATTACAAGATGCAGCGTGAAAAGTTCTACAATCTACAAACTAAAGTTTATTTTAATTGTACACTTTTTGCTTTGAAAAAAAAAGCAAAACTCTGTGACCAATTTTCGCATGGTGCAAAAATCATTTTTTTACACGCACGAAAATTCCTTTTCCTTATTTTATCTTTTTAATAAAATGTATCTAGAGATTAAAATACGAAATGCAAAATGCGGCCATTTATTATGGAACATCCGTTATTTACTTTTTACAGCTGTTTGTAGGCCTTTAGTTTTCGCATTTTTTCAAATATATTTAAAACGGTTTTTGGGCCTAGTGATATTTGATTTTGTAGAGAATTTCAAGTGCTATCTTTTAATAATAAAAAGGGCTTTAATCACAAGGATAATACAAGAGAAATCTTAAAAATACTGAGGTCCATTTCCCCTGAGACACAAGTTATCACCTTGGAAAAAAGTTTTTGAGGGCTTTGAGAACTTCACTAAATTCATGATCAATATGAGAGATAAATCAGATAAAAAATATACAGTTCGACAGAGAAATGAATGCTCTATCCAGCCATATATAAATAAGAAACGTATTATGTTTTGCGGAAATACAGTAAACTGAAGAAAACTATTAAAATTAACGTAATCAGCCTATATGTTAATATGTGAAATAGCAAAAATTGATACATATTTTGATAAAGAAATGGATTTTTCTAAACTCTCTCTAGGGGGGGCTCAAAGGTCTGTAGGATGGGCTCAGCCCACCCTTGCACCTCCCTGGCTCCGCCACACACTAAAATAAAATGTGTCGTATATATGTGTCGCACAAGAATGTGTCGCAGACTCCATTACAAAAATGTGTCGTACAAGAATGTGTCGCATTATAGATGTGTCATAGCCTATATGTCAATCGTTCATTCATCGATTTGTTTCGCGAGTGCAGCTGCATATAAGCGAGCCTATTGGACGTACTTGACTTATATATTTTCGTACGTCTTTTTTTTCTAGATTATTTCTCGACCATTTGTTATTCGATAACATGTCGAGAGGTCGCTAGATGATCGAGAATGGACTGCCTCGAAGTAGTCTGATCGAGATCAAATGGTCTCGAGGCAGCTAGATCTTAAGATCTACCGTCTTGAACTCCAAGAATAGGTGCTACTGTTTGAAATTAACTGAAAAAATAGTAACTATTCGAATTTTCAAAAAAAAATAATCCTCGTGCCGAAAAATGGATTCGAACCACATGTTAAAAATGTGTCGCATGTGTCGCACAAGAATGTGTCGTACGTCCGCTGGAAGAAATGTGTCGCAACGAGCTCCTCGTGTCGCATATTAATGTGTCGTACATTGTGTCGCAAAGTGCGACACATGCGACACATTTTATCTTAGTGTGCACTGCTTATGTGTCTAATTCAAGACTGTCCGAAACAGTCAAGGTTGAAGCAGAGGAAGGCCTAAATTTTTTCCATTCGATCTCATTTAAATTTCGTAATTGACCAACTGCATGAAATTTGGCTTTGGAACATATTATTCATACAGAAGAGCTATTTTTTTTTTGACAAAGTTCATCAATAAATGATATGTTTAATCCATGTCTTTATCAACAAAAAGGTTAAACCGGACATGGGTACGAATTTGACGACAGCAGTTAATCCTGACACCCACATCCTCGTGGAAGGAATACGTTTGCGATTAATTGTTTGATCGTCAGTTGATCGCAGTTAACTATCCCCATGTCGAGACAAACGATCACAGAAGGCGTTCGGAATGGATGAACGTATGAAAACGCGTTTCGAACACGTTTCGAATGCGTTCGATAGCGTTCCCCGTTCGGAACGCGTTCTGTGACCGTTCGTGTAATCTTTGTAGCAGTCATGGATTTGAATTCAATAATGGTGGTTAGGGTGTGGGTGTGGGTGGGATGTGGGAGTGGGTGTGGGTATTCTGTGTTTTGCTCCCACACTCACACTCACACTCTTGAAAAATGGTACCGTACGGAACCTTTTTTGCAACGAAATCGAAACCCTTTTTAAGGTTTCGTAAAAATTCAAGATAGGTTCAAAATGAATGTCAAAGCTCTAGAAATATTTTTTGAAGTTTACAAAAGTAACATACGGAACCTCTTTGAGGTTTCGATTTCGTTGCAAAATTTGAAACCCTTTTGAACGTCTGCAGCGATGTACCAAACCTTTTTGAAGTTCCGTAGAGTGTAGAAAACTATCTTTGGTTCTGTATGGTACCTTATTCTTTTTCAGAGCACATCCACATCAACAGCCCGATGTCAAATTGTCACAACTTATTAATGATCAAGTTTTTGCTGCTGAAGTGAAGAAACTCTGTAAGAAAAAACATTCATCTTAAAGATTTTTTATAACTAATGTTGCTCAGGTTACTACATTTGCCCCTGCTCATATATTTTTTATTTTATTATTGATTAAATTCGACTATTCTGAAAAAAGTATCTCAGTTATGTGCTTTATTTGATCGTCTAGCTATAGACAATCGATGAAAATCAAAGAAAATCTCGTCTGATACTGTAAATGACATGGAAAATAACAGACGAAATTGTTACATTTATTGATAAGATTTGGAAATTCGGTTGATAATCAGTTTCAAATTTGATTATAATGCACGAACAATAGAAAATTTCAACGTAATGTTTTCATTATAACGGATAGCCGATTTTTTCCTTTACTGTTTATCCTATTCAATTGATATTGGATTTTCTGAAACGAACATCTATATATCCCCTTTTCAATTTCTTCACTTATCTTCTAGTCGTCACACAAACCTCAACAATTGATATTCTTCCCAAAATGACTATTTGACGTTTATCTTCTGATACGAATGTTACTTAAAAATGAAATGAAATTGTTCCTCATCTCAGTAGTTAAGAGTCTATGATATAA